CAGCAGAGCCCTCAGGTTGGGTTGGCAGTGCTGGGCTGATGCTTGTGCACAGGCTTTCCCCACAGCTGTAGCACAAAGGAAAAAAAAAATCAATACTGGCACTAAAATAGTCTGAGGCATCTGAATAATGATAATATGAATAATGATAATATTAAGTGCTTTTGTAGCTATTAAAGATAAGTGCTTCTCTATGATTTAGCAGCTGTTCATGTTGTTTCTTTATTGTGCTGGTGTTCCTTTTAAGATACTGATCAAAATGACTTCAACTCCCCCAAAACAATACCGCCAATAGTCCCAGAAGAAACTGGTATGTGCTTGATCACATTCAACAATAATCATGCTGCATTTAGAGCTTGACAAGAGGCTGCTACAAACACCAGAAAACATTGAGGCAGCAGTGATAGGAACACATTTCTTTTGAGAAGTATCCTGTGACTCCCCCCCCAGAAGGAGCCTCTCAGCCAGGGACCTCAAGAAAATCAGCTTTAGGGGAAGGGAGTACCTGCAAAGCTGACATTTTTAATGGTTGTCTGGGATAAAGATAATGTTTACTTAGATTTTTTTTTTCTCCTGTCAAAGAGGTGATGAAGAAGTGATGAGCCACAGTCCCAAGACACAAAACTGGCATTTATAGCTTGCAAAATACAAATACGTAAAGGAACTAATAAAAAAAGTGCTATCAGTTCTGCCTTCAGAAAATGCAAGGGTCACCAGTATGAAAAAACCCACTAGCTTCCCAAGGAACAACGTGGTCCCACAGTACTTTACAAAGAGCTTTGGCATATTCAGACCCATTGTGAAGTTGGAAGAACCTGAAGCATTATCAAGAAAAGTCTTTTCTACTCTAGAAAAAGACCACATTGACTGCACTCATTTGCATGATTCATATAAACCATCACTGAGGGAGGCTTTTTGATAGCTTTAAACTATTAAAGTGAAATTGAAAATGCAGTTTGCAGGAAAAGATCTTGTCCCCCTTCTTCACAGCCAGGTCTTTATGCTACAAAGATCTTACCACCTGGGCAGTTTTTAAAGCTGTTTTTCAGCTACTAAATACGACTGCAGTTGCAAACATTGGGGATGTGGGCTAACAGCACTGGATTTCCTGATTCACTGGAATTCAAGTATTGCAACCCAGTATCAGTTATAATAGAAAAAATGACTATCTTTATAAAATACCACCTCAGCATGTACAGAAACCCAAGATTCCTCAAATCTAAACTGCATTTAAATGCACGCAGTTCAGTCACATATACAGAAGTTGCATTACAGTGAGGAGCTGGTTTATAGAGAAACAAACCACTACCACTGTCCTTAAAATATCAAAACCCTCTATCTACGGTACATAATCTTTAGGTTATGTATTTGAGCTGCATGTTACTACAGAAGATACTTGAATTATTCAGACTACTCTAATACCAGAAGAAGGTACCCTCAAAGGAGTTCTGTTGAGAAGCGCTGTTGATTCCGAAGAGGCAGCTGATTTTTTAAATTATAGCTTTTCAGATACTGAAATCATCTTTCCAGGTCAAATAGCTTTTTAAAAAATATATTAGGTAACACATTTGTTAAAGCTACTTTGAGCTAAAGCACGCTCAGATTAAGCTGCAATATATATTATTTACAATAGATCTATTTTCCAAAAGGTTCCTGTATGTTGGATGCAGTGTTGCCAACTGTCAGTAAATTTACGAACAGCTTGTAAATTTAAGTGCTTTCCAGAGAGCTATTGGTATGTGTGTAAAATACTCATTTTGTTCCTAAAACATGGCAAGACATTTTTTTCTGCGCTTGAAAAATAAGGAAAAAAACCCTCATAAATAATATCATTGAAGTGATGACGTATCAGTTTCTAAGAAGAAACTGAAGTAACTCATTTGTGAGCCCAAGTACCAGCTTTTTCTTGCCTTCAGTGGCTCAGAAGACACTAATATCTCGATGCACTTTCTAGGCAAGAACTACCACAAAACCAAAGGGCTGCCTCATTCCTCCCGTGGAGATGCATGCCTTTGTGCTGTGCGAGTGAAGAGAAGCTGACAGCAGTAATAAGGAGGACAGTAAATCGCCCAGACCCATTACTTAACCTGACACTCAGATTTGGAAAGAAAGCTTCAATCAGAACAAGCATTTGATACGAAAATAATTTAAGAAATAGAGGTAAGGCCAGAAAAAGGACTGCTTGTCACGTCCAAACCCTACACAGAGCTGAAAAAACACATTTTCATCTGAAGAAAGAGGTGCCAAGCCTGGATACTCCACCACAGCGCTAACAGAAAGACAGCAGCCTACTTTAGTAAGTACCCAGCAAAGTCAACCCAAGTTTGCTTTCCTAAGCCTGACTCTTACAAATCCAAACAGAAATAACCCCTTTTCTCAACCCAAGAACCACTACAGATCATTTTCTACAGGCTCATAGAGCCTAAGAGCAGGCTTTGGACCCATGGCCAAAAGGAGCATCGTCTCCCTCCTAGGGAGCACCTAGATAACAAACCCCAATTAGCAGCTTCAAGGTGTTTGCAGGTGTTTGGGATGGAGATGCCAAAAAGACTAGAAAAATACTGGTTTTGTTAACTTTGCAAGTCTCCTAGCAGGGGTATGGGAAGCAGACTTTTTTCTCCATGGGCTTGAGAGGAAAATACAGGTTTTTGCATCCTGGCAGCAGAGGCTAGCAATGTCTGATCCCTGCTTTGCTTTTGCTCCTTTATATAGGTGATACCAGAGCTGTTAACTCATTGCAAACAGTTCTGGATATCTGGAGTTTTATTAGCCATTTTAGTGGAAATATAGGGCCCAAACTCTGTTAGCAGAATAAAGGGAAAACGATTTGCAGTACAGTTTAAAGCACATTTGCATTTTAAGTTGTTTTATGCATCAGGGTAAATTGAGCCACCAAACTGAATTGGATTTGGGAAGGAAAGAGCTCAGGATGATCTAAGAGGTTAAGGAGATGGCAGACTCTTTGATTAGAAAATGGGTTAAAACACCAGCCTGAGTGCCCCTCTGAAGTCCCCTAAGGACCACAGGACTGTCTGGGCAGTGACCAAGAGGACACAGGCAGGCTGAACCTGCTTGCTGCCACCTGGCAGCAGAGGTGGGAGAGGAGCAGAGCTCTCAAGCTGCTGGGTCTCCATCCCCAGGACCACACTGCCAGGCTGGTTTTACAGCTGTTTGAAAACTGTTATGATTACCTAAACTATACATCCTGCAGCAGACGCAGCACCTTGGCTCTGAAGAGGGGCCCTATAATGCCCTGTATAATAGTAATAAACATGATTGTTATAAAAAGATAAGGTTACAGAACATTACACGACGCCAAGCTCCAGTTGACTGTAACTTTAAGTTTTGGCTGAGCAAAGAGCCAGGGAGATTTTAAAATTCAGCAGTAGTAGCTATTCAGAGGGTTGTTCTAGTACTCCTGCCAGGAAAAACTTCAAGTGAAAGGTCTAATTTATCACACATTGGGGTTGCAAACCTGTGCTCTGGGTACCAAGGCAGTCGCTTGTCAGGTTTCAGAAAAAGTCTGGAGGAATCCCTGGGTTCGGAAGTGGTGAGAATTCCAGCTCCCTGTTCTCGCTGTAACACTGCTCGCTCGGAGGAACATGCCCTGCCCATACAGGCACGTGCAGAAAGGATGGAGTTGTCCTCGTGTCGCTTTGCTATCTTCCCCCATCACTAAATAAGTAGTAATCCACTTCTGAGGCACAGTTCCGGTTCTAAAAATGGTTTTTCATACAGAAATCTAATACAGAAACCGCCTGTGTTGACACGAAGAAAGCAGTACTAGGGATTTTTAAAAAACTCCCTGCCCATCTGCTTCTCTCCCTGTAGTTATCTTCTTTATTTACCACAGGAGGACTGCTCCAAGTTGCTTTTGACAGTAGGTTTCTCTTATGTTTCTTTTTGGTTGTCTGTGACTATAAAGCACTTAGGAGCCACTTCAGACATGACATTTTGATGGGAAAGTCAATACACACCTCTGCCTTGGAGTCTGAGGAGCTGTTGCAAAAACATGCATCTCATTGATAAAAGCTCTTCAGTGTTAATGGGACTGAGATTAAGTACCTAACAGCTGCTTAATTTGAACATCATAAACATCCCAGAGAGTGACAGATCTGCTCAGTTAATTTATAGCAATTAGAAAAAATAATCCTTCATGAAATAGATCCAATTGCCTTGAACAGCACAACACATTTATCGCACAGACTTCTACCTCCTAGAAGCTCTGTACCTGCCGATGAGCAGCAGTACCAGCACCAGCCACAAAATCAAGCTGGAGGAGGGTAGGCAGACCCCAGCACAGACCCTTTTCCCATTGACCTTATGAAAGTTATGACCCATGCAAACATTTCCCACCTTTACACAGGCAAAGACTACAAGATGTTTGCAGCTTGGTTTGGGGTGGAAGGTGTGATGGCAGATACGTTCCTATTACTCATGCAACAATAAAGGGTATTCCAGCCATGCAGCTTGGCAGGGAAATGCACATCCACTGCCCCACCTCTGCCTGGCAGAAGATGCTGAAACAGTGACACCACACCAAGGATGTGCATTTGCAGATGTAGGTGCTTCTTTTTCAATCCCTTCTCCAACTGGAAGCACCTAAGAAAAAGCCAGTCAAACACAGGATGTCCTTTGGATCTTCTTGAGAAGATCAGAAGCAAAAAACAATGGCAAGTCACACCCATCAACTTCCAGAAAAAGTGTTCAGACTCAACCACAGAGGATTCAAAAAAAATAAAGTTTTAAGTTCCATCCTCCTCCCCTTTCTCACTGAAGTTTCAGTTTTTTAAAACTGAAGTCACCAGCACAAACCTAGGAGATCTCTTCCTTGTCTGATGCTTACAGTAAGGCTTCTGACCAGTGACCTGTTTCTGGATAGAATTAAAGAACTGAAAAGGCAAGAATGGGCAGAGGGAAAAAAAAAAAGTAACTTAGTGCAGCTGTGAATGAGACTTTTAGGGCCTCAGAAGAGACAGGTTCTCTCCAAATCTGCAGGAAGGGAGCATTCCACAGAGCTCCCTCCGTGCTGCCTGCCCCCACCTCAGCCCAGACCTGCTGGGACCACTTCTGATGCCAGCTGTCTCTGTAGCCCATTCAGCTCCACATCGCTCGTTTGAGACTGCCAACTGGGGTGCTAATTAGCACCAGTTGCAGCAGACAGCCTTTTGCTGATGTGGGCAAGAATCCATTGGGAATGTGCTGGAGACCACCAACTCAATTTGCAGAGATATTTTTATTTTAATGTTTTTGCTATCCTCGATACCTTGAGCTGTTTAGTTAAAGGAATCCTCCTAGGAGTTGTGCGGGAATATATGCATACCTATAGAAAAACCCAGGCATTATGCACACCGAATGCATATCGCAGGCTAATTATAATTTCCCTGCAGATGCCAATCAGAACAAGTTAAAGCCATTGAGAGGAGGAGAAAAAAAAATGCATCTGTGGTTTGCAAGGTAGGTGTACTTGACATGTCCTTTTATTAATTCTAATTATAGAGATTCCACAAATGGATGTCAAACATTTTCAGGGTGTTTTGCTAAAAAATTTCTGTGATGGAAAAAGGAAGAACTCCACCCCAGCAGATCATTTCTTCTTGTTTGTTTTACTATTTTCACTGTTTTCTTACTTTTAGGGCAACCAAGAGAGAGAGAAAGAAGAGAAAAAAGATCCCTTCTGGCCTATGCTCAACTGCTGTATGCCCCTCAGCTGAAATGGAAAGCAAATATTCCCAGAATCTGTTCAATTCAAACAAACCAGTTGGCCAGCACCAGCCTTAGGGAAAGAGTTAACTGGAACGGTAGGAATAATTCCAGTGGCTGGATAGATGGGTCCTTGTGTCTCCTCTGGAGCCCAGCTCGCGTCTCCCCCTCGATCTACAGGCCATGCTCCTACTCGTGTTCTTCTCCACAAGCATTTTCCTGCCTGAAAGTTGCAGTTCATGATCCTCCAGGGATCCAGTGCAGCCAACAGCCCTTATTCAGCAAATGAACCAAGCTGAAATACTTGCTCAGCTTCCACTGGGTTTGATCAGATTGAAGGAGGGGAGGGGTAGAAGTTAATAGGGATGGAAAGCATCTGTCTTATTTCTCCTTTTCTGAAGAGGAGTCAGAGCTGTTGCCTTTCCACGTGACTCCTGTGTTTATTATAGACCCAAAGTGGGAAAGTGTCTGTGCGTTAAGTCCCAAGATCAATCACAGCACAAGATAACATTTAAAATAACTGCACCTATTTTTGTTTGCATTTAGGTCACTCCTACAAGGTCACTACTTGAATCCCTACCTTTTGCAGGGCATGTCAGCTCTTGCAGCTCCTTCCATACATCAGGGTGCATGTCCAGCAAAGTCCCAGCCTGCCTACAGCACACTTTGCTCTTTAACCCTACAAAGAGATGTTTTCCTCCTAGGTTCAACCTCTGTTCCCACCCTACATCCTCTCACAGCCCATCTTTATCAGATGACAAACCTGGGTGCCTTAAGAACAAGGACAAGGGTAACGGCAGCCTGTTTGTTTAGAAATTAGAGTCAGGTTTGCAGAAGGATTAGACACAGTTCCACTGAACTGCACATGGCCTGCTAAGAACTCGTCCTTGCATTAAGCACAAAAAAAATGTACGCTTCAGTTAGAGAAGCAAATGCATTGGAGATTCCTTATTAATCACCCTTGCACAGCTGCCAGCTTCTGCCAGACCACATGAACAAATGATTCACAAAGCTCTGCACCTTCTCTTACCTCCCCACTCACCCACACACGCTTCCCTGCAAAGGGAAATCCTCAGCCTCACACACGTCTGGATACATCAGAACTCAAAGACCTCCTTTTCCTTCAGAAGTGTCTGAGTGGGATCATCAGCTGCATCCAGGGCCCTGGTCCCAAGCTTGAGAAAAGGGATCAGACTTCACCAAGAGCAACGCAGCTGCATGTGCTTACAGCAGCAGAGAATTTGGGCTGAGGCCCAGATCTTCAAAGGGACTGAATTGCCTAATTTCTATTGAAATAACTTGGGGTTAGACACCTAAATACTTTTGAAAAGCCAGGTCTGATTTTTTTTTTTTTTTGAATTAAAAAACGTAAGCCCAGACAAAATGAGCATTAAAAAGTCTTAATGGGCTATTCTGAAGTAGTACTCCTAATGGTTATTGCTCTTGACTGGCTAATAAATTATATTTTTATTTGCCAATAAAACAATAAGAATAATTTTTGGTTATTCTACTTTCAGAAGAAATTATTTCTTGCCTCATAAGCGTTGGCAAATGGTAAAACATGCTATAGAATATCAGATGATTCATGTATCAGAAAAATAGTAGAAATATACCCTAAGCAAACAAAAGAAGAACATGTTGTAATCTGCATCTCTGAAATTCATTATATTACAGCTCTCCATCAGTGAATGACCTGCTGGAGACTGTCTCAAAAAATTGCAATTGCTGAGCTACATGGTAGGTGGGACCAGGAGAAAAACAGCTGTAGGAGTGTAAGGTTTTTGGCTTTGTTGTAGGTACTTTTTTTTTTGCAAGCTATATTAAACTTCAGGAGCATAAAAATGCCTTTTGGTGAGGTCACCTAAACCAATCTGTCACCCATCTGCTTTTGCAAACAACAGCAATTACGCACTACACAACAAAAAATGCAATGGAATTGAAAAAAAAATAAGACAAAACAAGAAGCAATCCTTCCCTCCCTCCCCCAAACTACTAGTCACAGATGCAAGATATCACACGCAACCTTTCGAGGAGGGCGCACAAGGACCTCCTCCAGCACTGGGTTTTGTAGCACTGCCTCTGGGCGAGCGTGGAGGGAAGTCCTTTAAAATGCAAGTTTTCCCTTAGTGTGATTGAAATCAGTAACTCTGAGTGCCTGAAGAGTATTGCTTTATTTCTGCAATGGCCAAGTTGTCCTTTACCATCCAAACGAGTTCTCAGCAAGAAGAATTTCTCCAGACCAGACAGAGATACCAGTACTAATCACTGGAAATATTCAGACTAAAGAAGTAAAAATAAGACACTAATAGAGAATAACAAAAAATAAAATTTAAGTATTTCATCTGACCAAAATGGGAAGAACAGTTGCCATGTGACATACAACTTTTTTGTCACAGGGTTACTTAGCAATTCAAGATGACATCCTTTGATTTCCCAACTAACAATAACCAGTGAGACCCAGTAAAGATAATATATTCAGGTAGCAATTCCCCTTTGATGTTCTCAAAGCATTTTGCCAGGAAATCAGGTTCTGAAACCATTTATTGGAAGAATAAGTAATATCATCTTTACCCCACACAGTCCTGCTAGTCGCAGAGACCAGCTAGGAAAACATTTTCTAGTATAAAGTCACTTTTCTACTTCTGTAACATTCTCTGCTCACATCACCTGGGGAGAGGCATTTTCACATACAGACCCCAAAGCAGCTCCTGAGATAAAGCCAACCCCAAAACAGCATGAGCACACACACACCAAACATGCTAACCTAAAATGACCAGATGAGTCCAACCAGAACAAAAATAATGGCTTTGTAGAAGAGGTCCAGAGAAACTGGAAGGGCCAACACCACATCCAAAAACACCAGCTACACTTCCAGCTGCAAACCACCACATACACTAAAACACCTTTTCCGTGTAAGCATTCCCATAGCAAGCCAGACAGCACCTAGGCTTTATCAGAGACATGAGCCGCAATAGGAAAAAAATAAACGGTACGTGGAGTCCCTTACCTTTTGCCCATGGTACAAACATCAGAGGTCCCAAGAGAAACCTTCCCTCTGCTGACCAAGCTCAGTCTTGAGGCAATATTGCCTAGAGCCTGACCTTAAGGGCTGCACCATCTGCCCAACTTACCCCTCCTGATTACCTGTAAATTTTGCATAATTTCAAAAACCTGGCAGAAGCACCCAGCCTATTTTATTTTATTTTATTTTATTTTATTTTATTTTATTTTATTTTATTTTATTTTATTTTATTTTATTTTATTTTATTTTATTTTATTTTATTTATTTTATTTTATTATTTTATTTTATTTTATTCCCTATAAGCAATGACAATTTCTTGGATCTTTGGTCACGACCAGAAAGTAGCATGTTATACCTAGGAAGGGAAAAAATAAACAAATAAAACACGTCTGGATAATTCCTGCTGGCATCACTTGCAAAATGAGCAATCCCAGACTGAGAAATTAGATTTAACAGCTCCATTCTGGATGGGAGTGTTGAGGGGTAGCAGTGTTTCAGCACTTTCCAGTGATGATAACCAACTAATCTGCTGAAAACAAGCTCATTTTGTTCATCGTAATGAAGTTTGGTATTGAGAAACCTTGCCTTTCCTCTGAGCACAAGAGCTAATGAGAACACGACACACAACCAACAGCTCCCTCTGCATCTCTGCAGGGTTTATAGACGTGGATTTCCCATCACTTGGAGATTGTGTTAAGGCTGAGGTTTCCCTCGCAAATTTGCTTTCTTTTTCCTTCAGGCATACAGAAGAGGGTGGAGAGAATATCTTTTACCCTCTGTTACGGTGTGTTTTCTTGATGAATTCTGAGTCATACATATATTTAAGAACATAGGACTAAATTTTTCTTTATTGCATTACATAGATGTGCTTCTGATAATTAATAATAAATTCTGATAATAAGCCTGATTGGTTGGGCTTTTGTGATCATGTTATGCAGTAGAAAACTATACGCTTAGAAAGGTGTACCAAAATCCAGAACAAGCCACCATGAAAAAAGTTCAAGAGGTTGGTTTTCTATTGCTGGTTCCCTTTCACAGTCATTTATACCAGCAAAAAGTGGGGTCAGAGGGGTTGCTAAATGACACTGCTCTCACCTGTCAGCATTCTGAGACCTGTCTTGAAATCAGGGAGGTAACAAGATGCAGAGCAGCAAAACAGAAAATCTCATGAGGGAGATGATCTGATTATTTCAATACCTTAACTTTATATTAATTAATCGCTTCCATGGGCAGTGGTAGAGTTACTGCAGCATAACAGTGGGAAATACCAGGTTCTCTTTTTTCTCTTTTTCCTCTCCTTTTTTTTTTCTTTTTCTTTCTTTTTTTTTTGCCCCATTTTTATGACTCCAAGAATCACACAGACAGGACACCATGAGGCAACACAGCACCAGTTAGTAGATCCACGTACAATCACTCTGCAGGAAACTGATGCATGACAATAACTCTCTCCACAATAATTTGGGATGCCTGAACCCTGCATTGCCAAAAACCGGTATCAAAAGCTCCGGAATTGCCCCGAGATCTGACTCTTTTTAGCTCTATAGTGACTCATCTGTTGGTCCGACCTTCCTTCCTTCTTTTTCCTACTTTGTGCTCAGTGCCTGCAGCAGAAGTATACGTTTACAGCTCTCTTGGAAGCACGTTTAGAGAAAATGGTGGTAAATGATACTGCAGAAACTATAAACGGTTCCAGAAAGACAGTAACACATGCCACAGAGTATTTTGGCTAAAAATATATGTGGAGCCAGAGTGTCATTTGGTGGATTGGCATGGTTCAACGGAAGCTGCTGAAATGGTGCCAATTCATGCCAACGGAGGAATTCGTGCCAATATTTTTGTTGGTAACTAGGTAAAATAGAGCCAAGTGTGATATTTTATGTCCTGGCATTTCAAATTTTATCTTGAGGTCCTGGGGACAGGAAAAATAAAAAAAAAAAAGCACTTCCCCCATGAGGTTTATGTTTGTTCAAGAAAGGCTTAATATAAAGAGAGACTCATATCACACATACAGACTCTCCCCAAGCTCTTTTGAATCTGGAAAGTACACACGCGTGATATCTACTAAGTCCGACTGCAACACTTACAGATTTGTTCTATCAACCTTCTCTAATTAGCTGAATTTAACAACTATGTTGTCGCCAGAGCAAGGACACGGATAAAGAAATTTGTCCTAACTTTTTGGCACCGGTTTCTAAGCCTGCTGTTCCCATGCTGGTACACACTGTTTCAGAACAGCCTGTTACCTGACACCTAGTTAAGGAAAACAGGCACATATAGGTGGTTATCCAAAGCCACAAACCTAAAACTAGAACAGAACAGACAGGGATTATGAAATTGCATCCAGTTTAGAGCAAGAAGCCATGGGTGTCAGCCACTTTTTCAAGCTCTCTTGGGAATCCCTTGTCTGAACCAAACATGGGAGATATTCTCGGTAGGTCCCTTGGGGCCATGAAACCTCTCATTTCTGTCTATGAATTTCAGGTTTCATTCGTTCATGTAAAAAAGAATATAAAATCTGTGGGTAGAGGGGTAGAGGGGGCAAAATGAGCACTTGGCCTTCAGATATGAAGGACTAAATTTGAGAGGGGAGGGAAGAGAACACTCCCAAGTATCGCTTGTGCTTAGAATACAGATTTTGAACAGAATTTCAAAATGAATCTTTAATTGTAATTGAATCTTGTAACTGTAATATTTTTTTTTTTTTAATTGAATCTTTAATTGTAATTGAAGCAAGTTAAACCACCG